GGCCCTCCGCCTACGAAGAGCTTCATCTCGGGCCAGTTGTAGCAGTGCGTGTAGACCGAATAAAGGATCTCTTCCATGCCCCAGAAATCATTCATCCAGAGGTCATCAGGATTCAGACGACCTTTGCCACACATGAGTCTGAGCTTCCTGCCTGAGGGCTCAGGAAAGGAGTCCGGACTGGTGACAGACCTCTCCATCAACAACTTCTGAGCACGGATGTCAAAGAAGAACAGGCAGCCGTGGCCTGTGCCCATTGTAATAATATGCTGGTAGGAGCTTATCGAATGCACACCAATGCCAGCGTCTATGCTACACACGGGTTGGACCCCGGCATTCAGGTGACCTTGGCGCAGATCCAATAAACAGACACTAGATTGTGAGCCCACCGCATACAAGGAAAAGTCATCGCAGTAGGTCAGGCACATATTTTGATTGTCAAAGGGCAGGCTAAATGAGTGCAGCCTGGACAGGGTGCTATGCGCTCTCCACAGGTGGAAGTAGCCATCCACGGACACTGCTCCCAGTTCATGCCTCTTGCCACTGAAGGCCAGGGCTTGCACTTTGGAGGTGCCATAACGGATGTTGGATCCAGGGATGATCACTCTGTCTCTGGGACACATGTGGGCATACACTGGAAGCCCCTGCATATTTTGCCCCACAGTGCTGCCCATGAACATGTCAGGATGCACTTCCCATAGCAACAAGGTCCCATCCCAGGAGGCACTCACCACCACAGTGTCACTGATCCACGCGATCGAGGTGATCCAGTCTTTGAAGCCAGGAGCATCGCCCAGGCACACGGGGTCTACGGAGGGCAACTTGTAGACCGCTAGACTGTTGGGGTTTTCACCCCCAGTGGCCATCAGTGTCTTGGAGGGATTCAGCTCGATGGCACGGATGCCAGAAGCAGAGGGTGCGTAGGCCTGTCTAGGCCTCCTGTCCTGCATCAGGGAGAAGGGTGTGATGTGGCCCGTCTGCACGTCCAGCACGAACAGCGTGTTGCACTTGGTGCCACACACCACCTGCCTGTCATTCACCCACTGTGATGCTAACACCTTGTCCAAGCTGCCCAGGTCGAGCTGGCGTTCGGTCAGCAGCTCTGGCAGCCTCGTTACTGCACTTCTCTGCAACTGGTCCCCGAAGGCCTGGAGACTGGGGCGGCCCCGTGCGCCCACCGAGCGGCGCTGCAGATAGTGCACCACCGAGCGACTCCCAGCGGGCTCCATCTGCTCTTCGGGTCGCAACCTGTGCGATGGCCACCTACAGGCGCCAGTCTGGTCCTGGCTTCCGGTGGCCCTGCTCCTGCCGCCCGCCAGGGCACATTCCGGAGGGGCCCCACTGCCCATCCTGACACCCACTTGCTGTGGCTCCATGATGCGTATCATGCTAGGGGCACCAGCACCACTGCTGTGGCTGGGTTGCTCGCTGGGGGTAGGAAGGTTGGACATGGTGACAGTGGGGTGGCTGCGGAGACTTTGGGCACGGGGGCAGTGGTGTTATTTCCTCAGCCCAGACAGGACAGCTGCGTCTCAAGGTGGAAGCAACTGGGCAGACGGTTGTAGGCAGGCAAGCTGAGTCCTCACTGCCTCTACAGTGAAGGAAGCAAAGGCCTCAGGTCCAGGGAGGAAGGCGGTGCCAGAAAGAGCACAGTGTGCTGCCTGGGCTGGGGAGGCAGGAGAGGGCAGGAAGCTCACCTTCCGTTGGTGGAGGGAAGGGGGTCGGTGAAGGAGTAAGGAAGATGCCCCCCCGCAGAACAGGTAGAAGGGAACGAGGTCTGAGAGGGCAGCTGCGGAATCAGTGAAGCAAGAGGGGCTGGG